TCAAAACTATCAGGAAATAATAAGAGTTTATATGGGCCCCTCATATTTACTGCGTCAGCCTCAGCAAACTACCGTACCCCCAGAAGCCGTGGCACGTTCGGAACACGCGATTAGCATACGGTGAATTTCGTATTCATGAAGGCCTGCCCCCCGGGGCCCGCTGTGCCGCCCAGAAGCTCGATTGAAAGCATCGCCCCCGTTAGCCATTCATCAAGAAAACTTGCTCAGCTATCTATATTTTCTATGTATTTGGAAATGGCTTTTCGTTGCCTATATCAATATTTGAAGCTTACAAGGGCCTTTGGCCACGGCAAACGATTTGACCCAGCCATTCGATAGAGAATGAACTGAACAAGACGGTTGTTCATTTTTGCTATGTTAGCTACTTTTCTGCTACTTTTCTGCGCAATGCATAGAAATTGTATCACTTAGATCGAGAGCTCTACCACAATAGGATTATCCTGAAGTGGCTTGATCCGTGGCGTAGACGAGAATTTACTGCAACCAGGGGGATTTGGCCGGGATCTCGACCCCCGCGGGGGTAGATATACGGCTTGGACAGGCTGAAGGGCTTTTCGGATGATACACGCTGTTTACGCTCATTGCACCCGCTGATTTACGGGCAATCAGGGATTGGGGGGTGGCAGAAGCCTGACCACTTGTCCCCCATCACCCATACGCAGATATAGCAAGGGTTCCGCGAAGCTGTCTGGTGACAAGTGGATTTTGGGCTGGGGTGGGGGTCAAGAAAATTATTTTCGAGGAGATTTTGGCTTAGGACCCAGCTTCGGCTTAGGGTTATGCTTCGGCTATGGCCTGGGCTAGGTTTGGGCTTAGTGATAGGCTTACGCATTAGCAAAGGTCGAAGCTTAGCTTAGGGAAAGACTTAGCTCAGGTTTAAGCTTAGCTTAAGCGTAGACTAAGTTAGGCTCAAACTTAGATATCGGCGTAAGCTTAGCGATCGGTTTAAGTTCAGGCTTAAGCGTCGGATTGGACTTGGTTTTTCGCATAAGCTTAGGCTTATGCAGAGCCGGAGGCTCGCTTTGCATGAGGATTCTCTGGCTTTTTTTTCCTAGGGCCATTCGACTAAATGAGGGACTTACGATGGTACCGCTTCACAAAATTTGCATATTCACCTTTTTAGCATGATTCAACCAAATCTATCTTTTTCAGTAGCTCCCATTACTTCACGAACCCTTTAATATGCCATAAATCCTGTTCTGACATTCCATAGACACTGTGAAGCCACCCCAAAAATGAATGGAACAGTTGGCGGGCGGGGCGGGCGACCGTAAATTCTGGGGGAAACTGTGGACGGGTGGTTGTCACCATATTTCCAATAATAAGCCCCCGTTGGCTTCACCGGGGTTGATGGGAGGGCCCTAAATTTTCATCCGGGACACTTTACACTTTGTTGGAGTCGAGGGATGGTGGATCTAAAAATTGTGCGGATGATAGGGATGAGTTTTGCTTGTAGAAATTGGAATTTTGTTTGGAAGCGCTATGATTTTACCCTTAAAAATATTTATAGATTGATGATTATTTATAGATTGAATTTGAGGATCTAAAATTGCAGTAATCGTCTGCAGTCTGCAGAAATCGGTATAAACAAAGTGGCGCCACCGATTTTTCAAAAATAACGTTGATTTGAATAATTTCAGAGATACATTTTCAGAGCTTCAAGATACAGTTTTTTCAACATAAATTCGCTTTTATTTTAAACCCATTTGGCTTAAATTAATTTGCTTAATCAGAAGAAATTGCACTTTCAAAAACATTTTGTTTCAAGAAGTCTCCTTCGATTTCCTAATTTATTTGGTACTAGAAAGGTCTATTAAATTCCCAGCTGTCACCAATCCCCTATATTCCCCGATATTAGCCATTTACAGCCCCCCATATATGGTGTGTCAAGAGGATATTGTCGGAATGGATGACCAAGAGGGTTTATGGACGGGGGCAACTTGTAAAGGGCGGACAAGAGATGGGCGATCTTGGTCCGAAGGAGTCGGCCGCTTTTAACCCCATGTCCCATCGCTCATCCCAACCACACCCTTGCTGTCACCCCCCACCAACACCCCCATACACACCACTTCTGCATCTTTTCTTTTCGAGTTAGCCTTTGTAGAGTGTCGCCTTGTTGAACTTTGACGGCACCTGTTCGGCTGTAGGCAGTTCTTTGTTTTGGTTGGTTACTCCGAGATCTAGAGCTCTCGGGAGTTTTTCAAAGGAGTCGGGAGGTCCAGGTTACGACAAACAAATTGTATTGAAAATTTCAAACTCACATTATTGTCATGCCGTATTAATAGATCAGAAAAAGCGTGTTAAATGGCCCTTGGTTGATTTTCTGGATTTCTGAAGAAATAGGAGCTCACAAAGCGTCAAAAGACGAGCGTAAAGAGGGGTCTTTCGTAGTCGCTAAGTACGTAGTCTGCCGTTTTATTCAGCGACAGTAGCTGTGCGTATATAGTGGCTGACGGAGTGTGGGAGCGAGCGTAAAAAATGGTACTTTCACTTTAATTTCATGTCGAGATTTTTGTGTAACTAGGTGCTCACGTAGCGTAGAAAAAAAGAGCTTAAAAATACTCTATGCATGTGTTTCCTCTTTGGTCCTTCTGCCTAAATAGATGCTGGTGTATGAAATTTACAGCTAGAACCGAATGTGGTCTTTCAGAGTCATATTTTTTAAGAATTTTAAATATTAAAAAATTTCCAATTTTTTTCAAATTAGATCTTTAACTTAAGTCCACTAAATTTTAATCATTCAACGTTAATTTACCCCTACTAAACATCCCAAAAAATGTCATTCCGGTTGCACAACGTGGATGCCTAGATGTGGTGCGAGTTGGGTGGTGGTAGTGGAGAACATTGTCGGCCCCTTTGTTGCCCGGTCAATCCTACTGACGTATCTGATGGCCGTCTCGATAATCCACACCAACCGCCCGACACAACGAATACCCAATAGCACATCGGCGGCATAGTATTTAAAAGTTTGCAGCGCGTTTTGTATCTAAATGATAGTTAGTTCAATAGTTTTTATGCAAATTTATCTATTAATCATACGCGTTTTCTATACTCAACGTTTAAAACTATATATTTTTTAGTTTACCCCAAGTTTTCTACCAAAATCCCTAGCTAGAATCCAAATAACGGCAGTTAATACGAATACGAATGGGATTCTAGAGCTAATCTCGACAGCCATGATTTCCACGGCGATAACTATCCCAACATATTATTGCCTCTAATTTGAATATAGCTTTGCCATAAAAAAGCAATTTTTAGTGATTTTTGGCGGCATTTTGGCATTTTCGGAATATGTTGCTATTCCTGTAAATTAATAGACCAACTTTTATTTAGGTTTTAGCGTTTAAAACTACAAGATATAACGACTACGTTTTTGAGCAGTTTTCTACTCTAACCCAAGCTCAGATCTAACAAGTTTCGCCCCTAGCCGAAAGCTGTACCGATCCATTCATTCCACCCTACCGGTCTCCATCCCGGGTGCACCAATTGTTTTGATGAGATGGGAAAACAAAGGGGTTATCTGCAGATATCTCCCCCTTAGGGCACACACATTCGGTTGGGTGTAGAATAACGCGATGGAGCACGAGAATTGAGGAGGATGAGGAGACGATGGGAGGGGTCGGAAGACGATCGTTCGAGGATCGTCATGATTTACAGCTGGTGCGAGGGGGGGGGCGATAGATAGACATCTCAACCCATTCCCCCCTCCTTCTCCTTCTTCTTTTCCTCCACACGGGACCCAGAAAAAGGCGACCGTAGCGTATGGGAAGAAGGAAGGCACACGCCTGTATAGACAAATAGGAATCATTTGTGGAGGTGGGAAGAACAATGAGGTTGGCGGTGGAGGTCTTGGCAAAAACGTTAGGCGAAAAGTGGTTCAAAGGGACTGGAAAGGCTTTTAAAAACTGATTTTTTTGAACTGATTTTATTAATGACTAATATTAAGACTGAACTAATTTTATTAATTTACTTCAAGAAAATGTGCACATCTCTATTCATTTTAATTCGCCCTTAGACTACGCATTTTGTTCGACCTGTAAATTGTTTTAAACAAATTTCGATGTTTTTCAAAACATTGACCCTCCCTAAATTTTAATCCTTAATTTGCATATACGAAAAATGTTCTTTATATCAGCGAGCCCGGTTTTGCCTTTCCTGTCGCAGATAGCACCACATAATTACCCAAATTACTTGACTTGGCGTGCTAGCGAAAAAACCCCGAACCCGGGATGTGGGGTGGCGGGCGAGTCGAGTTCAGTTTCCGGTAGCGGCGCCTTTTGTAGGGCTGAATAATGGGCACGCAACATGAAACCGCGGACAATGCGGATTTTCGGAATCAACAAGATTTCAGCATCCTCATTCGGATTTGGTTTGTAAAATTGTTATTTCACTTGGCGGAGCTGGTTTTAAAAAGTAGGTAATATCCAATTTACCTAATTTCTTCGAATTTTGGAGAAATCCACTTGACTGCGTCTCAAGCTGATCCCCTCACTTACAGCTGATCCTCATCTGTCTAATTTTTTCTTACAATTGAACCGGTAAATTCAAAAACGGAGGCTCGATACCGTATCCGATCCCCTACCTCCGACCACCTCCGGCTAAATCCCGCTTCTTTTTCGCAGCTCGTTGTTTATGACAGCAATATCTGTCCGAAATTGGCAATTTGCTGCTCCATTCTTCTTGAATGAATGATGGTCAGCGGGGAGGGGGAAAAGGCGCGGAGGGCTATGAGGTTGACGGTGGGGGTTGAGCACGGATTGGTCGGCTGGAGGCGGGGCTATGTGTTTGACTGAGGGTGCAGCCATGTGCTGCTCCTCTTGCTCCTCCTTCTCGGCCCTATCCAGCTGGCCCTCCTCTAGCCTTTTCTCCCCCCTCTGATCGTCAGCTGGACCTCGATAATTCGGGCTGACCGATGCCCTCGGGCCCCTATCAACGATTTCTACAGGCTATCCACCGAAACGCCTCCACCAGTCCGCCCGATGGCCTCATCTGCATCCGGCCCTGCCGGACTAGCCGCCGTTTCGGAATTCGCCGCCTCGCTTGGTCAGGTGTGTTTCGGAAATGCAAGTTTTATACGTTTATAAAGATATTTGTAGGGCTGCAGTTTTTTAATGAATTTTTCGATAAAATTTTCCTGTAAATCCTACGAAAGTCTTTTTGTGATAGTTTTGAATAATGCCATCGGCTTTCATTATTTCCATTTAGTTTGAAGCAAATTTAAGATTTTGGCTATTAAGAAAAATAAGTTTTATAAAATATTGCTGTTGTGCTAATTGCTATAAAATCCGAAAGCTTAAAATAGTACCAAATTAGTGCAACTGATTATGAAAGTTAAATTCCAAAGAGCGCAAAAATCCGCTTAACATGATAATTCAGTGATCCCCAGATAATTCCCCATTTTAGAACCCATTCTACGCCGGCTATAGCGAAGCTTATTTGGGTGCGGCCGCCAGTGCTAATAGTGGATTTTTGGCAGCCTCCACCCTTGCGCAGCCGAGCAGCAACATTGAACAAACGGTCAGTCTTACGTTTTTGTTTGAACTATCTGTCACGATTATCTGGCTCTTTGGGGGGCGCGCGGGTCGTAAATTTTATAATCGGCGGGACGAGATGCAGATTATCTATTTTTTAGGGTATAGGGCTGCGGGGATTGGGTCAGTTTTGGGTCTCGTTTGCGAATGGCCGGAAATATTTCCGGAGTTTAGAAGTTTATTGGGTGCTCTATCCTATTATTCAGATGTAATATAATTTTAAGGCAGCATTGAAAACATTGAACTAGGCATCGGCGGACCATAAGATGCAAATTAAGGCATTGTTATCGCTAATAGATGTTTTCCGGGCCTACCATTTATCTACGTGATGTGTGTTCAGGATCTTGATTATAATTCCGTTTATTACGGCTATGTTTTAGCCATTAACAAATTTTTCTAGTTGGCAATTCAGAGAAGACATTTAGACTCCATCTAAGGTTTGCCTAACCTCGAAAAATGAACTTTGCCTAATAAATGAAATTAATATTTCTCAACGCTTCAGCTACTAATGGTAGGTAGAATATGCAAAGAGTTAAGAAAAGGGATGAGTAATATTTTACTGAAAAATGTGTCGTTCTTCGGGGCAATGAGACGTCGTCCGAATCCCTTTAAACCCAATTTTTTGCTCAAAAATTTCAATTCCCATATTTCCCAACGGATTAGCTGCCAATGATATGCAAAGATTTAGAAAGCCTAAAGCGGGGTTTAGTGGGGGTTGGTGGGCAGGCAAGAAATCGAGGGCATCTATGGGGTGTGGTGTCCGTCCCGGGGGCGCCGAGCATGGGCGACGTTGAGGAATGGCCGCCTGGCCGCCGCTTGGAAGCCCGCGACAATGCCATTAATTTTCTGCTCGCTCCCGAGGCCCCGGGCGCCTCGCAACTGTTATATCCTCCCTCAAGGGCCCAGATTTTGATAAATCGGGCGACCTGAAATTTATCGTGGGGTTAGGGAGGGGAGGAAGCCGGTGTGGTGTCTGGGTGGGTTAGGATAAATTTAGCAGCTGAGTAGATACTATGTATTATAACTGATTAGATTTGGTTTCTAACATAGTTCATAGGTTTTAGGACTTCATGCTCATTTGGCAGAAAAAAGAATAAAACTTTGAGTATCCTTGAGTCAAGAAAGCAGATGCTAAACTTTCGCCGAGGAGTAAATAGATCACATGTCTTTTAGAGCAGAATTATCCTACTATATATAAAAAAAATAGTGTTTGTGTGTGTGTGTGTGAATTTGCATGCAACTTCCGTCACCGTGTTCCAGTAGTATCTCAAGACGGGAGAAGGTTAGGGGTATGTTTGATACGTCATTAAGTGCGTAATGGCCTGGAGATGACTGCACGCAAATGAGATTTATAAAAATCTTCTATCTTCGACATTAAAATTCAGTTTTTCATGAAAAGCCCGACACCCCTCTTTGTTAGGATCAAATTAGCATGCAACGGAAGTCGCGGTAGCCTATATAACGGAACAGAGGGAGCATTTTTCATTTTTCGTCTTCCAGATGTGGGAAAACTATGCAAAGCCAAGAATATGGTGGGAGCAGAGCAGACGGGGCCAGGGTTGAAAAGTCGCGAAGCGGCTTTTCAACCCTGGTTATTTTTAATAATTTTCAGTTTTGGGGTTTTTTCGATTTTTAGACGTCGGAAAAAGCTAGTATTGAGTATTTAGATTAACAGATACATCAAGCTGATTAACAGTAATCTTCGAGTGGCGTGTTTTTCTGCGAATTTTCTCCGAATTCTCTTAATCTTTCGCGTAAAAACTCTCAGATTTTAGCATTTGTGAAAAAAATCCCGAAACGAATTTTAGACATTTTTATACATTTCACAACCAATACCTTTTTGTCCATTGATCCTCAGCCCCCAATTTTTCCTCACCTCGATCCAAAAGCGCCAAAGTTACCGCCCCCCCCCCAGATAGGATCAGTCTGAAAAAGGTGGGGAGCTGGTGGTTGTGAGCAACGAATGGCTGGGCCAAGTCCTTCACTTTTTGAGGCGCCACGGGCTGGCCTACGGTAGAGGGGGGATGGCTTGTGCGATGGCGCCGCGTGAGGTCCCATCACTCGGCTGTCCGACTGGGAATTCGAAAACAATTCCTCTTCGGCTGAGTGGTGTGGCCTCGACGATTTTGTGATTGGAGGGTGGGTCAAAGTTAGTTAGAGTTAGCTTTGCAGGTTGCGAGTAAATAGGTGATTATGCAAATTTGTTCGATGAGTAGCTGAACTTCCAAATCCAGCGACCAAATTAAAATAATAAAGACCTATCTGTGGGTTTCCTTAACAAAAATCTTATTGTTATTTGCGGCTTTTGGGCAAATTCTGAAGTTACGAAATTTAGCCTTTTTGCGCTGATTTGATGACTAAAAAGAGTATTGTACTACCATCTCTCGTTGTTGCTTTCCTCCCACTTCTCGGGTTCGAAAATTCGGAGATCGATCGAAGCCCCGGGTCGAGGAAGAGGAGGAGAAGGAAAAGAAAGAGGGGCTGCCGGTGTCGGGCGATCGTGAGGAGATTGTAAATGAGGCGCACCGGGAGATCGAGGGGCCGTCTTGCAGACTAATCGCCCCAAATCACCCACCACTACATAAATCGTGGCAATGGGATGGGGCCCTAGCGTGATAGATAGAAGGGCCAACATGTTAGTTGGTTAAGGGAGCAACTTTTGGGGGGCAGTAAGCTCGGGGTGAAATAGAGTCAAGTAACGTACTTTTAAGCATAAAATTCGCGAGATCCAAAGGATATATATCTTTGATTTCTTATGATGTTCAAAATCCACAGTATAAACCAAATTTTTACAGTCTCTACCCTACCCTCAAGCCCCAATCGATTGGTCGAAAGAAGCTAAAGAGGACAGCAAGGACAAGGTAATTTTTGGCTCTTTTGTTTTTTTTGTGTCTATAGCTGCATACAGTATGCTCACAAGTTTTTCGTTTTTTCAGGACGGAAGCGGAGAATCTGATGATGACTCGGGTGTCCCGAAGGGCGCAGTTGTCTACCCCTGGATGACACGCGTGCATTCCACTACTGGTTAGTTTTTAACTATCTCTCTTCCTGATCCCTTTAATGCGTGAATCATACCGGAACTACTATCTCTCCCTTGCTATTTCGTTATTCTTGTCTCCCTCTCGTAATGGCGCCATCCTCTAATCAATAGATCCACCCGCAGCTTCCAACGGTGTCCATTTGACAAATCACTTCCTTTCGCAAACTTTGTCGCCTAGGCAAGCTGCAATGATAAATAAACTGGTTTTCCCGGGGGAAAATATGTGAACCTCCCTGAGATTACCTTCACTGAGATCTAAGTTTTTTTGGGCGGTGGCTGCCCCTCTAGTGAGGCGCCGGCGGTCGGTGTTTATATCAGGTGGCACAATTTGTTGTGACGGGGATCGATGAGGGTGCGGGGAGGTTCAAAGACGGCCGCCCGGCTGAGATGTCCCGGCCACTTTACAACCCATAACAATCAATCCACTGATTGGGCCCCCGGGGTCCTTTTGTATTGACAGACGGTCGCTTGGGGTGGTTGACCTTTTGTCAGGTCATCTGCATATTAGTAAGGTAGAGTAGGTGGTAAGAAATTACCTTAAAAATTTCGATATTTGGCATTAGCGAGACTTTGAAAACGATGAATCTCCGGCATAGGTTTGCTTAGGCTTAGGCTTTGGCTTTGGCTTTGGCTTGAGCTTATGCTTAGGTTTAGGCTTTGACTTAAGCTTAGACTTACCCTCAAAAATCCATGTATCGAAATTTCTCATCCCTGTCAACGGATTTCAGTCCAAAACCCTCCACAAAAAGGAAAATGCAAATGCGCCACTTTCAGGCCATTTGGGACCTCGAGTAATGAGCGATTGCGTGGGAAACACCACCCAAAAACCCCCCACTAGGGCCAGATGGGACGCTAAGGATTTCCGAAATAATCCCTGCCACCCCGCCACCAAGCAAACCACACATTTCCAGGTGGCTCCCGCGGCGAAAAACGACAACGCACCGCCTACACCCGGAATCAGGTAGCTATCGGAATTTCGAATTATTTTATCTGTTCCATTTTAGGTCCTGGAGTTGGAAAAAGAATTCCACTACAACAAATATTTGACCCGGAAGCGCCGAATAGAAATTGCTCACTCTTTGATGCTCACCGAACGCCAGGTATTAAAAAGCTACAACTTTCATATGCTAATCATTTTCAGGTGAAGATCTGGTTTCAAAACCGTCGGATGAAGCACAAGAAGGAAAATAAGGTACGGTTTTTTTGAGCTCAGGGTGGCCAAGATTTACGCGCTCGTAGGATGTCATCGCAAATCTTGCTAAAAGCCGCGATACATCATCCACATGGACCATCGCCATTGGTTGTGTGGTCTTTTGTGTCAAGCTAATTGCGATTTGAAAGGAGTCTTTCTTGGTTGGTGGAAAGAAAGAAACGTTGCCCCCGGGCCCACCGGCTGCCCATTTTTCACCCGACGGCCATATTTGTGACATGGAGGGTCTGGTGGGGGGATGGGGGATGGAACAACGATTGTGGGGGAGATGCTATGCCATGAAGATGATTTTACTTCTGTTATGGAAATGGATGTATTATTCATAGATTTCTCTTAAACCGCTACAAAACAGCCAAACCATGCCACTGCATTAAAGACAATGCACTAGTTGCATTTTGTTAATTATTGCAAAAGTATCTCCAGAAAACCCTTCAGAATCTGCAAAATATGCAATTTATATTGTGCGTAATCTATAAATAAAAATTTCAGGGCGAATTGATACTACATACAGCTTCTAGCTTTCTTTACAAATTCAGAAACCAAAATTTGCATAAGAATGGGTTTTTAGAGGTACCTGAAAAGCAAAAGTCTCCAAAAATATTAAGGGGATGAGCAATCATCTGAAATATGTCTTATGTTAATTCTCAAAGCGGATGTTGTTAATCAATTGATTTTTTACAGGACAAACCAACACCCCACCAAATGATGGGCCCATTCGGTGCAGCCGGTCTTCCATTTGCCCACCTCAGCGCCTTCCCCCGTTCATTCCTTGCCCCGTTCACCTAAGACCTCTATAATACCATTGCCTGACGTCTTCTAGCACTTGCTTCCGGTTGTAGCCATTATCAAACCGTTTTCCCCTTTTTCCAGTCACACTCACGAGCTGCAAGGCCTAGTTTTCGCAATCTCTTTTTGTCCTTTACCTAATCGAACTTACTCGAAAAATCAAGGTCCGTTTTCAGTTTTATTTCCGCTTTTGCAGGATGATGTTTCTTCTTTCGTATGACTCGAAATTTGATATCATCCGGCAATTTTCCCGCTTTGAATCACGCCCATATGCGCTCATTTTTGAGCCGATTTCAGCTTCTCCTCCCCCCCATAGCTTCTAGCACTTGACGCCTACTGGTCTAGCCGGCATTTTTTTTGCTTTTTACATCGCGTTACCTTTCCCGCTCCCCCGTGCAATTCTGTTGCTCTCTTATAATTCTTAGCTAGCTTTTTGAGTTGTTCGGGGGTAGTCCCGGCTTTCTGTAATTTTGTAATTTTGCCGTTTTTCATTTACCCAACCATATTCTTGGAATCCAAGGTACACATACACAGCTGACAAGGTGAGATTTTTTTGTCCCCAAATACACAAGGTATCCTCTCTCCCTCCCGAGGTATCCCCCCATTCTCGCAACAAGGTACCCGCTATAACATGGCCTCCAAGAGACAAGGTAAGGGGCCGATTTTTTTTGTAGACAACCGGCCCACAACCCACCCGTATGCAGAGTCTTTTTCTTTGTGAAAAATTTGTGATTTTTGTGTGCGTTTTCCGGATTTGTAATCTCTCACCCTGACCCCATAGGCCAAAATGCCTACTATTTTCTCCTTTGCTTTCGTTTTCATGTGGTTTCGGCTAATAAAATGGATATGATAATTGATTACGTTATGGAATTGCTGGCAAAATATGTGGTATTATTTTTTAAGAAGGTAGTTAAAGGCGCGATTCTTAAGATAAATTAGCGTCATTTGCTGTGGTGAGTAGGCTTCATCTTAGATGAAAGCTTCAGGGCGCTCTGGACGAATCCGTCCTGATTATCGTAATATCTATGTAAGTTTGGGTAGCATTTCTTAACATTTTTGATTGTACTTTAAGGACCGGTATTTGGCGCAACGTGTAGCTGCAGAAAAACCTTTGGGCACGGTCCCCGTTTCCACCCAATGTTGCCAATGCTATTTTTACGCAAAAATTCCTACCTCGTGCCTTTCGGTAGGATGATAAAGCGAAGAAAAGCCCTCCGAAAAGGCAGATGCAACTCGGAAGGGGGGAAGAGATCGGAGAAGTGGCTCGGCAGATTTATGCCTGGCCGGAGGGTGGCTGGCGATTTATGATAGGAGCCCTCGGGGCCTCGATCGTGTAAATATTGTTCCGAGGGGACCTCCGAGAGCTTCAACCCACCACCTAGCTTCTTTAGAAATGCGGGTAGTCGCTGTTCTTATGATAATGCAGCGGGTGACTTCACTAAATTGTTTTTGACAAGTTCTACAAGATTCTGATTTTTTTTGTAGTGCTGTTTAAGCCTTCTTAAGATCTAGCTCAGGCAAAACAAACACAATCTTATATATCATACACCATTTATCGCATAATACTCGTTAAAAATCGTATGAATTCAAAAAGAAACATTGACCCGTTGGGGGGAAGCGGCGCGCTTGCGAGTGAGTGAGACAGGGGCTCGTGCTCAGGAGATTCAAAGCACCTAATTGTCTACACAGCAATATATATATAGAAAACATCTGTGGGTGCGGTATCCATGGGCTAGACCCAAAACGGGAGCACATGACGACCAGTGCGAGCAGTGAATTGGTATTCTTCGAACCAGTAGAAATGCCAGAGGATGTAGCAGAAGAGGTGGTTCAGGCCGGTACCCAGGCCAAAGTATAAAATGAGCAAGTTGAGTTGTGGATCGACCGGATGGAGGATGGAGACGAGGAGTTTGTCAGCGGTTGCTGAGATTTATTGATGTAAATATATTGAGATAAATTTATACCAATGGTTAGAATCACCAATCCAAAACAGTAGGCGTTTTGCATAATTAGGAGAGGCCAGAGAAATAGTGGGTGAGCATTCCTAAACTCTATATTTTGTAGGAAAATTTTTGACATACCGTACACAAGAGCAGACAAACAGCGCTAACAATATGGCAGCTGCCTGCCCGACGCACCAGAGACATCTCATATAGCCACCGTCCAGGTAATTGGCTATACATTCTTGAACCTAAATTGAAAAATGAAATACGATAATACGATAAATAATACTTACCTGTATCAACTCGTGAAAAAGACCAAAATCAAATATTATAATGTCATAAGTCAAGAATGTCGCCTCGGCCATACTCGTTTCATTGAAGCTACATGCAAATATCTAAAGCCAACCCTTATTTCCTGTTCTTTTATGCTAATTACCTTCCGAAATCCCACCATTGAATAGATGTGCTGTGAAAATGCAAAGCACGCCACGACGAATTGCATCGTTGCCAAGCAAATGACAATCGAGCGGTTTCGCATCCAGAACCTGGAAGCTTTCATTTACATAAATATTTTTATAACAAACCCGCATAGCCATGTAAACTCATCCTCCACTCTTACTCCTCGACACATTGATCTAGCTGCGGCTGCTTCTGAAAATCACTGAATATTGTCTTGTGTCATCGTTCCCATGAAGCCTCCCCTTATTCCTTCCGCCATCCCCCAGAACAAAAGAGACTAATTTAGCCATATCGCGTTTCAAGGATTTGCGCAAAATCGTCGGCCATTGGGGGGAAAAATGGCCGCTGGCATATTTATTTGGCAGACTTCCGGGAGAATCCTCTCCTTCTATCCCTCGCGCGATAGAAAATGGCATTCAGGCATTGCAGGTATATAATGAGTTCCCTTCTGTTGTCATTGGAAGGCGTCAGGGGAAATGATACGCGAAAATGGGTTTTGGCGTTCATGGAAATAGGTTGTCTGGAATGGAAATGGGCGGTTATTCCTGGGGGAGGAGGCATCGCGACAGTTTCTATAAAAGGGGGTGGAAATTAAGGGAATTGGTCATGCTGGAATGCGGGAAAATGAAGTCGGGAAATGTCATTATTTTAGGTTTAGGCTTAGGCTTAAGCTTAGGCTTAGGCCTGGGTTAAGCTTATGACTTGGGTTAGGCTTAAAATAACTATAAGATAAACCTAAGAGTCTTGGTAAAGCATTTTCTAGCAATGTTCAGCAAAACCATAAGCACAGCCTCCCCATAAAAAGCCCTACGACCGAAAACCAAATGTTGCCATGTTAGCAACACCTCGAATAATTGGAAAACTGAGCACTCGCAACAATCAATGTGCGTGGTGAAAAAGCCGGTGGGGACACGACCTCCGGGGGCGGTCTTCAGATGCTCTAATGACAACCACTCACATTTCTACCCTCCCATCCAGGAAACCACAGTTTCTCTCACCCCCAGCCACCTTATATTAGCCTGCAAATTAGCGTAAGGGGGTTTTTGATGAGTCATCAAATAGAAAGAGGAAAAATTTGTAAATAATAAAAACAAATTCAAACACAAATGTCACCCTGATATATTATAAACGCTCTTACTAAAAATAAACCACAAAAATGGCACGACAAAGATCTCCCAAAGTTTCTTTCCTGGAAAAGTTATGTCAATCTCCTGGACCAACATCTGGCAGCCCGGGAGAATCATCTTGGACACTTAATGGGAAATGTATGGGCCCTAGGCCTTATTCATTAATTCATAGGCGATAATGAGCCGTTTTTCCGTCCTGCTCCAATGTCCCAACCAAACCCTGAAGTTCCGAAAGTATAACCGCGGCTAAGCTACGGCATCTGCTCAATGGTGGCCGCTAGAAACCTTTTCCCAACGTTTGGACATAAACATCATAGTCTAGACTTTGGGAGAGCATTAGCAAAATGGGCACCGCTTATTGTTGAAATGGGGTGGCCCCTGTTTGGGGGGCGCCCTTACGAGCTCGATCCCATCAAGGATTTTGCGCTCGACTCCCCTTGAATATGCCTTCGGAAGAAGGATGATGAAGTAGCCTTTTTGGCTGTTGGCACAACAAAGACCTTCTTCTACTACAGGATTCTACGAAAGGTAAGACGACGGTGTACTCTACAAACGAGTAAATCTACAAAAATCTGCGTAACTTTTGCCCCCGAAACGCGCACAGTCTGGTCCACTATGCTTCAAATCCTGCAAAGAACCAGTTTTACCCCAAGATCAGAAAAATCGGTTCTGTAGCTCTCGGTTGATAATTTTAGTCAAACAACAAAATTATTATAGTTATAATCACGCTTAGCAAAAAAATTCCTCTTAAATCTTACCTTTCAATGGATCGTTATGGTGATTGTGGTGGTGCGTGTAGAGAATTGGCCCCGACATTTCTCTACAAACATCAAACTGCCAATATATGAAAAATACGGACGCCTGAGAACAAATTGAAAACAAGCAATCATACGCAAAAATCATGGCTTGCAAAAAACGAGATGGACGATGTGTGGATGGGAAACGTCAGTTTATGGGAGACAGAAGGCAATCTTTGCTTGGATATAGACCTAGGCGCCCCACCAAAAAAAACGAAAGAATAATTCATTTACTCTTGCTGGAGGGAATGGATGGATTGGGCAGCCTCCCATCCGGTGAGCCCATCCGTTTTTTGCACAATGGAAAAACCCTGCGCGAAAATAGGTGTGAGCGATGATCTTTCGCGATAAGCATCAAGAAAAATTAACTTTTTAACGTTTGCTTAAAAAATCTGGAAGTAAGGGGTTAAAAATATACTTGAGCGGCCGCATAAAACATCCAAAAAGCGGGTAATATTCATTTTTCGAAAATCAAAATGGAAAATTTTCTTTTTCGAAACATCAATCATCTGAAATTTCGTTTTTGTATTTTTGAGATGGAAAAATTCTGATAAAATCAGCTTCGACCTCTGACAACAAATTACAAAAAATATAACAGGATTGTCCGATATTAATATGTCGAGGCATGAGATGATAAAAAGAAGCTGGATTTTTCGCTTAAATATCTGGAAGTAAAAGCATAAAAATATGCCTCCTCCGCCCCTCGTCCCCTGCGCAAAGTGATATATCAGAATAGAAAATTAACGGCCAACTCGATTCCCCCATTTCCGGTCCCCACAGGGCGACACGCAATCCCCATGCAAAAAGCTGCTCCCCACAAGGCGTTACTACCAAAAAAGATGTGCCCACCCGTATAATCACCAATTCCAGGGCGGAAACAGCAAAAATGAGATTGGAGCAAGGGGGGCACTTATTTTTAGCTGGGCGGGGAGGGGTGAGAGAGTTTTGGGGGTGCCTGTGTGAAAACTACTACAATTGACGGGTGGCTGGCCGTTTTTTTGGCTCGCCTCGACGTGGCCCCTTGTCTTTAATCCCATGACGACGGTCAGTCTCAGCCACTTTGCACGCAAATCTCTTAATTAATTGGGAAGCCAGGGACGGGGAACGAAAACGACCGGTTTTTCGATTAGCACTGGAGTTCAGGAAAAATGAAAATAGAAGAATCGAGGTATTCAAAGATCACTTTCTGAAAATTTTAATCTTTTGGCCATCTTGAACTTCATCTTTTTTACCCTAATGCATTAGCAAAGATCCCTTCCAACGGAAGTTTTTTATGTGCTGGTACATCAGACGGTTGGATGTTGACGGCGTGGCCGAAATGAGACGGGGAAAGTGAGACGGTGCAGTGAGGGAAAACAATGGGGTTGGCCCTTAAATAATTCCCGAATCAGTAAGCCGACCCAACAACAAGTTCAAAATGAAGCCCGCGGATCCGGGATGGGCCCTGGCCAATGAGAAGCACGAGCAAACAAATACTATTCATCGTCGAGGGCGGAATCCTAGCAAAACAGGGAGATTTCCGGGAAATGAGGCTTGTTCTTTGAAGCGGAGGATCAGGAAGTTGGAATGATCCTGGGGGGTAGACGAGGTAGACGGAAGAGCATTATTCAAACAATGAAGAATCAAGATAACCAACTTCCTATGATCCGTATATACGAGCGATAGAGCTCATAAAATTCAGAATTTCTCATCGTTGCCGCTTACATAATTAGATGCGTGGTTGACGAGGTCAAGCTCCTTCCCAGATTCAGTAATCCGCCCCAAGGAATGAGAAACCATGAAACAGAATTTTTGTAAGTCGAACCAGGATTTTTCTAATCCTCAGGGTTTGTTTAAACCACCGGTTACTTCGTATACTTCTGAAACTGCTTCAAACCTAATTTGCATGCAAAAACGACGATTTGAATAAGAACCCTAAACTTTTAAAAAGCGGGCCGATCTGATTTTAAAAATAACAGCTCTCTCTAAATCCGAAGCCCCTGAAAAGTGACGCACAATGCCCGGACCGGTTTATGAATCGAACATCAAAGTTTTCGAGAAAAAGGAGCGCGACTCGTGGCTAATTCTGTCGCATAGTTGATTGGGCGGAACACGACGATGTGGGTGGCGCATTCCCTTCTTCTTCTTCTTCGGCGGTAGCTGTCGTGAAAATTAATTCGAAAAGGGGTTGAGGGCCCTGATGATGGATCATTCATGACCCAGCCCGGCTCTCCGGATGGCCATGTTGCAACGTCAATTCATCTGGGGAGGGGAGCGATGTCCTTGCAGCTTGAACTATAGCCTGAATTCCTGGTTATTTCAGCTGTTGCTCCGTAGATCAGGTTGGGACGGGGTGAAGGAGTTGTAAAATGAGGGTTATCTTGTGTGGATGACGTTTGGAGGTATATTAAGACTTCCTCAAGTAGTAAAATTGGTAAGTCAAAAGGAAAAGGCAGATAAAATGGATTGAAAAATTAAATTCAGGAATTAACAAGCCATTCGCTTTGTATTTTATAAGACATAAATAGAACTCTTATGCCAAAAAAAACGAAATGGTTCGTGCTCAGGTGACGTTCCCCGGGGAAGGGAAGAGCCACAGATGCAATTGAAGGGATTGGAATGAATGCCTAATCTCCTTGCCCCCCCCTGCAGTCCAATTCCAAGTTTTCCGTTCGAAGACGTTGTTGCTGGTGCTGGGTGCCCAAAGACCGGACCAATTTTTTGGGGGTTTCCACCCCGTTTCCGAGCCACACAACACTTTCTATGTGGCGTAGAAGCTATAAATTTGATTGCGTCAACGCGCCTGAACTTGGCCCACTGGGAATTCGGGGTGGATGGCTATTTTTGAAAAGCATGATGCGTCGATGGGGGTGTAGTGAGGTGTTTTATGTACCACAATAGGGTAGACAGCATGAACCGAGTTTGATCGGGTATTGGAAATTATTGAATTCTAGAGGCATTAAATCGAAACCCCAGAATTGAGATTTTTTCTAAAATCCGGCTGGTCAAAAAATTCTACTGACGTTATTTAGTTTCTAAAGAGCTTTCAAAGCTGTTGCCAAGTAGGTAAAAAATCTACAGTACAGTTCACTACACAAACACAGACCGACCATACTACCCAAAATAACAAATTTCCGCTGGACCTGCGGCTATTCCGGGGGATTGATGATGGCCCCGGGCAGGCAGTAAAATGCCGTCGTTTCCGCTTTACCGAATTCCTGAAGTTCCCGGGGATGGCTCCACGCAAAAGAAGACGTAGACAGCGGGGG